TTTCCCCCTAAGATACACAAAATTTTTATTAGTATTTTTCAAGACATGAAATATTGTATTTAACTGTATCACTGAGTTGAAATATAATTAATCCATATTGTAAGTGGCCTCGAGATTGCAGTAGGGAGAATTTTGTTTTGTAAACATCCCATACAGGAATGAAAGCTTGATGACTTTTCAAATCCTACATTATTTTGAAGCTTAGCAAATTTGTCTAAATGCGGAATCTAATTGTGAGATTTTTATTTTGTTCACCGTGTGTAAACCAAATGTGGGCTGAAGGGGTCTATCACATATTTTAAATATGTATTGTTAAGCCTCTCACTGTCATGTGCTAATTAGCATTTTATTTATATCTGAAAATTGTGCACTGCATCTCTCTCATACATGAGCCCAATACAGTGCAGGTGATCTTCACATGTGCACTTGTCCAACAGCTCCTACAAAATGATCACAAATTAAACACTGAGAAGTACTCTGTCTAGATATTAGTGTAAAAATTCAATGAGAGTGGTGAAGCATTGGGACAAACTGCCCATGGAAATTAATGAACCCCTGCAGCTGGAGCGACTCAAAACATGGCTGGATGGGGTTTGAGTAACCTTATCTAAATTCAAGAGTAGCTGCAAGCAAGGGTTTAGAAAAATAATCCCAGAGGCTTTTTTCAGTTTAAATTATTCTGAGAATCTACAAGCTTAGGAAGTCCAGGCAAATTTCTACCTGTATTACAGATGTTATAAAGAGGCACCCAGAAAAAAAAAAAAAGTGGAAATTTACAAACCAAATTAATTGTGGTGATGGACTAGGAATGACCAACAGATACAAGCTGTGAACTAGTAATTTTGAGCAGTATTAGCATTTAATCTTCTGAAAGTAGCCCCCTGTGCTAGCACAGACATGATATTTTCTGGCAGTGGAAGGAGAGGAGTGACAAAAATTTAGCAAATCAGTCTGACATTCACATGTTTTCTATAATTACATAAATTCTTAACTCTTCATTTAGTGCCGCTCTTGTTTTCCACAGAGGAAATGTGTAGTTTCTAATGACTAGAGTAATTATAATAACATTCAGCACATGTAACATTTATTATGTAATATAATAATAACATCTCTTGATATCTAGAGATCTTAAAAGAGATTAGAATTTTGTTTCCCATGTGAAGCACTAAAACATGTGCACTCAAACAGATATTCTCTAGTCTGGATAGGCAGGTGGCTGAAACAACATGAGTAAAGAGTTTGGTGATGGGAAAACAAAGCTAGGGAAGTGATAGCAAAACTCCTGGAAAAAGTTGATATTTGGGTTTATATGATTTCTCCAAAGGCTGCATTAAAAGGCTGAAGTTCAGGGAGCTTGAAAGTTAATAGAAAAAAAGTGGTGACATGAGGCAGGATGACCAATTACCTCAGCTCATTTTCCTCTGCAGTGTCTAACAGAAGGTCACGTGCCTAGGAAATTATATCATAACCATGTTAACAACCATAACTCTCCAGTTATGTTCTTGTCACAGCTATGAAATCCTATTTCATTTTCTATCAGGAAGGGTGTGTGTGCATGTGTATGTGTGTATAAAACATACAGTAGGTAAATATATTGAAGGGCTCTGGTAATTTCATGGTAACCACAAGAGCAAAGCTCAAGTTGTTTGTGATGTTAACAGAAACCAGAGATGTGCTGTATGTATGGCCTCATTCACAGACTCTGAATTGCCTTTTATATAGTTCATGGATCACACAAGATTTTAAGAGGAAAAATATTTTCTTTAAATTCATGTACATAATGTCGCTTTTCCTTCTAACATACCAGAAGAAGGTCTGATCATTTTGACTTATTGTGAAACATTACTGCATTTATTTTTAATACAGAAATACCTCCTGCATCTAAATTTCACTACAAGATATTTATGTTGTAAATACTTGTAAAGAAATGAAAATTTGATACCAAATGTGAAGTCACTCAACCAACTAAAATGAATAGAAAATTGATACAACTGAAACATTATTTTGGAAGGCATAACTGCCTCATGACAGGAGATGTAAAGCCCCTCTAGAATCTTGTGGCATTCCTGAAGTTAAGTTTAATAATTTGAACTCCTTTCTCTAAGGAAGAAACCTAGTGCACTCCTTTAAAAGTTTTAGAAATTAATAGCTTGCTCACATATTTCTTGAAAAAGATATTGGCATATTTTAGGATTTGCAGCTGAATTCTGTTCTCATTTACACCTGTGCAATCTCACTGAACCTAAATTGAAAGAGATTTGTCTAGAATAAAAATATCAGGAAAATTGGTGATACTAAACTTAGTTTACTGCAAACCAAACTACTCAAAATATGAAAAGAAAGAGTATTTTTGTGATTCCTCCAGACCACACAGGTTATTGGGCACTTTCTAACTGAGCCTCTGAACCTTTTGAAGATCTCCCATCATGATTCTATTAAAGGCAAACTTGTTCATGCTTGTATTTAAGCTTTTTTCTTTGAAAATTCCTCCCCTAATTATATCTGTGCTGCCTAGGTGACTGCAGCATTTGGCATAGCATTTCTTAGAAAGAAATTTCAGTAAGTCAGATAAATAAGACTTTGTTGCATGTAAGTTAGCTTTGAAGATTATGAGCTCCTTCAGAAATAGCTCATGCATTAGACACTGCATAGGTTAACTAGTTTCTCTCTGGGGAAATTTATCTGATTATAAGTCAAAACTGGCTCAGGTAGGTTAATCAAGGAGTAATAAGGCAGCTGGGATTCATGTCAAACTGTAGAGAGTCTCCCATGGGCTGATGTTTGAGTCTTCTGAAAAGTGGTTATGAGAGGAGGCTACTGGAAACTTTTTTTAGATTTCCTCATATAGGCATCAGGAGGCCCACAAGAAAGAAAAATCTCCCATATCCTTCCTCAGTGACCTTACTTCCTCCAGTGGCTGCCAGCAGATCACCTAAAATATGCAGGAGCAGAAGCCTGAGGTGTGCCCAGCTGTGTGGGTGTGCATGGAAAGGCACATCCATGAGTGTGTGTGGGACTATAACTGCATGCATGCATATCTGTGTAAACAAGCTGAACAGACCCAGAGTTTGGGGAGATGTATTGCTACCATGATTTTTCCCCAGGCTTTCAGAGGAAACCAAAATGGAGCATTTACTGGATTATTTTTTTGTTGCTGGAATTCCCAAGGAGCCCAGATTAGTTTGTCAGCTCCTGATGACCTTGCTAATACAACTGTTTAAAATATTAACTTTTAAAATAAAACTATTTCATCCTTCCTATCTGCACTAGATCTCAGCTAGAGGAGTTCAGCGAACCATAATTTATCGCTTTAGCTTGTTGGTGGTTTGGTATGTGCTGTTGCAAAGTGATAGGACAATGGGAGAAAATACAACTCATCAGCCTTAGAAATATGTTTTCATTCTGTGTGTGCGTATGTGTGTGTCTGTCATAATTCATTACTTCCTCTGACCTCTACTTTGACAGAAAAAATCACTCAGCTAGAGAGATAACCTTTATATCTTAAAGTCAAAATTCCTTTGTCTGTGGATTTGGAATGTGAATGTAGAATTAAGTTTGAAGTGGGAATTCTCTTTTCAGTGCTAACTAAAGAGTAATTGCATTACTCCAACATATCACAGAGAACAAAGACACATGGGCTCAATTGCAGTGCATCAGGGTAAGGATACACTGAACAGACAACAGATTTTTAGAGTGAAGACAAATTTAGCAAAGGAAAACAAATAGGAAAAGATATAGTTATTGGCTGACAAGATCTGTAGTGTGAATAGGGGCAAAAAAGTCTTGCCTGATGTTATTTGTAGATTAAAAAAATCAGCATTCAGGAAAGGTATATAGGTAAAAGTGGAGAAGACGTACAAAGCTGTATATTGTATAATGGTGTGTGCAAATGAGGAATGACCGAGGAAGTTTGAGTATGTCAGAAATTATATCATATGCAAGTAGCACTGATAGAAAGAGAGTAGAGAGTTTGGAAAAACAGAAGGGCAATTGCTGAGTGTGAAGCTTGATCAAATCCAAGTGAATAGAGCAGGAATGAAAGGCCATGCAGTCTGACATAACAACAAGAACTGACTTATGTTAGGTCTTAAAAATCTTCCTGTCTGTTCATCTAGTAACAAACAAGTGAAAAATACCTATCCATAAATGGCATCTATACATAGATGGTAGAAGGCCTGAGACTCATAATGGAGCTTTAAGCAACTGCCAAGTATACATTAAAGACTGAATACGTGGTTGCTCCAGACATTGCTGGTAACTACAAAGTTTGTGTCCTAGTCTGTCATGCAACATTTTTCAGGGATGCACAATGCAGCTTGTTAAGGCTGAAAGCTGAAACAGAAATGCCCTTGAAGTATAGTTTCACATAAAAAGTCATTAAAAGAAATTTTGTGCCAAATCTATCTTTGAAACAAATTTAAGAAAAGGTCTTGTATGTATTATCAGTAATTTCTATGTTTTAGGGTTTCATTTGTTTTAAAATAATTACGCAAAGCTTCTCATTATTATATTTTTCAAATCCTTGTTGGGCTTTATCACTGGAGAAATCCAAATTGGTTTGTTTTGTTCATCCTTTTCCGACCATTACAGTGGGAATTCTAATGAGGAGAAGCAGTTATGTAGAAAATATCTATGATCTTGTACACTCTTTTGACACCTTTTCTCTGATGTCAGTTGTGTGTTTCCATTAATTTTATTGACTGGCTGGGCTGATGGCATTCTGAGGTTCAACACTAGAAATATATACAGAACTACAGGACAAATGGATGACAAAATAAGGAACATGACTCATCAGCCCTTGCTCTTAAGTGAACGATCTCATATTTTGTCTAATGTGATCTCTTCACACTATTTTTTGACATGATTGCAGAGAACTTGTTAAATACTTTTTGCTTGTTTCAGAGGGGAACCAATTATATGTGAAGTAAAGCAAACCAAGCATTGCAGAAAACAAAAGATGAACTATCTAAGTTTAATTGTGTTCATTTTATATGTTCCAGATTCAGAACAATCTGTGGGCAGGGAATGCGGCCAGTGGTTCTGTGGTTACCTCCTGCATGCTGCCACGAGATACGTCCTCCTGTATGACACCTTACTCCCATTCACCCCGGACAGATTCTGGCTACACAGGCTTTTCAAACCACCAGAATCAATTTAGCCACATGCCCCTCAATAATTTTTTCACTGACTCGTTGCTTTCTGGGGCAACCAATGGACATGCTTTTGAAACCAAGCCAGAGTTTGAAAGGAGGTCCTCTAGCATTGCAGTTCTACGGATGAAAGCCAAAGAGCATGCTGCCAATATTTCTTGGGCCATGTAATATAGCAGTACCCTCTCTCAATTTTTTTTTTTTTAAAGCAAACTAAAACCATTTTTATTTCCCATATTTAAAGGGAACAACAATAAGCTGCTGTGTGTGGAATGCTAGAAATCACAATATACACGATGTCTGCTTTAAGAAATGCAATATAATATTTAACAATAAACCAAGAATAAACCAAATAGATTTACCATGCATCAAGCTCAACAAGCCCTCTTTGTTTTGCTTTTTATATACGTTTTGTTGTACCAGTTGATGAAATATGATTATAGAACCTGAAAAAAAAAAATAAAACTACTAAGCAAATGTGTCTACTCCATGGTTTTTAGCAGTCCTGTATAAAAAATTCATGCTTTACAAATGAATACTTCATAAAGGAACAACTTGATAAAGGAAAATAAATTTATTATACTGAACCCATGATGTAAATCTCTAAGCACACCACGCAAAGAAGGAAATATATGACCATTCATGTTGTAGGTAGAATTTGTAGACTGAGTTCTCTCAGTGCTGCACTGCTGCTCTAAGCCAGCTCTGCTGTTTTGCTAAATGCATGTTGAGCTTGTTGAACTTATATCAATGAACCTCTAATGCAATAAGAATAGAAGGTGCTACTTTATCTTATGGATCTGAGTGTATTTCTACTAAAGATAATGAGATTTTTTTTGGTCACATATAACTCTAAAAGTAGGATCACAGTGCTTAATAGAGTTTTAAAAGATGTGCACAGATTATGTGTCAACTAGTATATTTAAATTAAATCTTAAAGTTTACAGATAGGGTGTCATGAAGCTTGGTTTACAGACAACAAGGAACAGTACTCCTACAATTTTAACAGATTAGGAAAAACCCCAAACAACACAACACTGAGGTTTTACTTTCAGTACAGTCAATTTTACTAGGTTTTGCTACTCTATGGTCAAATTGAAACAAAAAGTCCAACAAGGCTTGTCAGTTTCAGTCTGCATATGATCTTAAGATGATGTTAATGTTCATTTAGTTTTAAATACACTTTATTGAAACTTTGCTTATATGCTTTCCAGAGTGTAAGACTAGTTTGCTACTCTTAAAGTATATGGGAAAAATCTTTTTGACTGCAATGGCAGCAGGACTTGGCTCTCAGCTCCCAGCCTATCATAAAGGAATTAAAATGTCAGCAGACTTTCTGACATTTCTGGGGGAAAAAAAATAGAAGAGAAGAAAAATACTTTACATCTGGAGAATTGATATCTGCTTTGATTTACTTCTCCTCCCTTTCCCCTGTCACATTCCAAGCTCCTTCAGATGAGTGAAATGTCAGCCTCTTTGAAAGCAACAGTCAGCCTCTCAGGTTCATAAAGGCAAAGTAAATTAATTGAAATAAAGAAGGACTTGCATGGCTGTGATTAGAACAGGATACAACTCTCGGGGCACCCCCTGCTCATTTTTGCTTTTCTCTCTGGCCATTAGTTAGGAACAGAGGGCGCATGGGGGAAGAAGGGAAGATTGGGAAGCAGATTTCACCACAGCAACTGCAGAACTACCAGTACTCACAAAAACAAACACACAGGAATCCTCAGATTTTCTCTTCTCCCACTCATGGTGGCTTAACTTGAAACAAAAATAGGAGATGGACTAATTCTGTAGTCTTTCAAGAAAAAACAAACTTGACTTTGAAACCATCAGGATCAACTAAAAATGGGATTTTTACAGCAGAGTTTTACACAGCTGAAAGGAAGGTTGTCCTATTTTCCACTAGTAATAAACTCAGATTTTAACACATACATATACCCAAATTTGTGGTTTCCTGATTTGATTCTCCTTCTAAAAATTAGCTTCTACTTTGGCCTGCGGAGCTGGAAAAGAGTATTCAGTCTAAGGGTTATCTTTTTCATTTTTTATGGCCTGTTTAGACAGCAGTAAAGTTAGACTTATGCTTAAAAGCAAAAAAAAAAAAAAAAAATTTTGGTACAGGTAGAGGCATTAGTTTTGCATAGACACTTTTGCAACATGCAGAAGGATAAAAGTGCTGGAAATACAGTGGACTTTTTAGCAAACTGCATTCAGTTTTTTTTGTTTTTGTTTTTGTTTGTTTTTTATTTTTTTCTGAATTTTATTCCGTTTCCACAAAATTATTTTTAAGGTATAATATTTAGAACATGCCAAAGTGATTTCCAGAACCTTTTGTTAGGGTTTCATTAGTGGACAAAGAAGGAAAAGTTTGGCTGGCAATCTTCAATCCATTTTTGTTGTTGCCTCTTTCAATTTACTTATTTATTTTCATAACAGAATTTGCTATTGTTTTCTTCTGAAATCCCCCCAAAAGAATTTGTACAAGTTTTTATGTCAGGAGTAAAATGCAACAATTCCTAGGAATTTATTGCAATTGCAGATTTATTACAGAATAAATATTCATTTTCAAAATATCACAACAATTTTAGGCGCTTGAAGCTTCCAAAATCAAAGGGGAAAATAAAAGACCATGTCTTCCTGCTGATTTTAGTTAAGTGGAAGAGATGCAATTCTAATTAATTCCTCATCCTCAAAACTAGCAATGGAAATTTTTTGTTACTTGTTGCTAGCATAATTTTATACATTAAATAAATAGTTATTCAACCCCTCATTAAACCTGAGGTGTGATAAGTTGCAGGCCTGCATTAAGCTTGTCATGCTCTTGCATCAGCCTCATCTCGAAGAATGAATGATAGCCTGTTGGTTGCAGCATTTCATTTAGCTAATGAAAAAGTATCTTCGTGTTAGATGTCAAGTACTACAACAGGGTCACATTCTGCCAGTTTTATTTAGTAGTGCTTTAGTAGTGGCATTGATGGGAGTGAGACTACTCACATAGGCCAAATTGTGAATCACTTGTAAATGTTTATTCACAATGGCCCCATTCATGCAAAAAAAAAAAGCCTCTCAGCACAACATGAGTAATCGGTTCATAATCAGGCCCAGCTTAAGGTACTATTCAGCTCTACTAAGGATGGCAGGATCTGGCCCATGCTGGCTTAAGGCCAGACTCAGATTTTTTAACCAAGATGAGTAGCTCCTTTTTCCACAAATAGTGCAAAGAGACACTACAGGGCTATTTGTAGTGTTCTCTTTTTCTAAAAATGTCTAGAAAAGAGACATTTCAATATACGTAAATAATTTAAGCAAGTTTCTATGAAAGAGATATGATTTTATTTTCTGCTGGATTATGCTCCCACATTTGACAGGATTTGTGTTCTTATGCTTTGATTTTATATCTTAGTGATTTTCTTCTCTTAAGCAACTAATCTTTTCACTGTTTCTTGAACATGTGGAAAATGAACTAAAAACAAAAGGAGGTGATTTACATAGCCTTCCTGCCAAGCATAGTTAACTAATGTTTGAGATATGTGATCATCATGCTATGCTGAGAAGTAAATTTATAGAACTTTAGGGAAAAGAGTCCCTATCCTGTTAAAAGAGAAAGTGAAATATTGTTCTAATTATTGATGCTTTGTGTTTTCTCCTGTGATTGATTCATTGACATTTTGAAAATCTTAAGCCAGTATTTTAAAAATTTTCTGAACAAATGTAAATTTACTTATGAAATGTAAATTTAATTATATTATGATCTTTACAGACTTGTAAGTGATGAGCAACACTGCATTTAGCAGCTAAAGATAGCCTTCTTATGACCAAGATGGTCAGAAAAGTTTGACAAAAATTCTACCTACAGTTTAACAGTGTTACATACCACCAGAACATATCCATGAAAGCATCTTCTGTTGCTGAGAATAAGTTCTCATTTCACTTCTTTACTGTCATAATATTTTGTACAAAAAAGTGCTGAAAAAATCCAGTTCAATATGTTAAAGGCATTTTATTTTGACTTTGAACTTTATGGTAAGGCTCTAAAGTATAAAATTTAACAAATATAACTTACATTGTGCATTTAATGAGATAGTTTAGCATGATAGAAGTAAATTATTTTGTTTTGCAAACAATAAAACATTGCAGGCTTTTTTTTCCCCCAAAATTACAAAGGTTGTTCTATTGATAAATTTCTACATATCTGTGCTATTTCAAAATCAGAGTTAAATCAGGCTGATCAGATTTAGAATCCATTAAAACCAGTTGTTTTTCTTAGTTTCAAAATATTTTCAGGGGAAGTTTTTTCTGTAAGAAGTATTTCTTTCCTGAAGTGGTTTAAGCCCAGCCAGCAGCCAAGCCCCACGCAGCTGCTCACTCACTCCCACATCAGAGAGACTGGGGAGAGCATCAGAAGGGTGAAAGCTGGAAAACTCGTGGATTGAGATAAAGACAGTTTAATAGGGAAAGCAAATGCCATGCAAGGAAATAATTCACTTCTTTCCATGAGCAGCCAGGTGTTCAGCCATCTCTGGGAGAGCAGGGCCCCATCACAGTAACAGTGACTTCAGAAGACAAAGGCCATCACTCCAAATGTCCCCCTTTCTTTCCCCCACTTTATATACTGACCATGATGCCATATGGTATGGTATATCCCTTTGGTGTGTTGGGGTTACCTCCCAAGCTCCCAGGCATCCCAACCTCCATGCCAAGGTAGCAGTATGAAAAGCAGAAAAGGCCTTGGCTCCATGTAAGCACTGCTCAGTAGTAACAAAACCATCTCTATGCTATCAACGCTGTTCAGTACAAATCCAAAACACAGAGCCACAGCAGCTACTGTAGAGTTAACTCTACCCCATCCAAAACCCAACACATTCCCACAGCACTTTCCTACCCAAATAACAAGTGGCTCACTCATTCCCAGAATGAGTGAGCTTCTTATTCACCTTCAGTGATCTTTTTAGATTTGGCTGGCATTGGAATGATGAAGTAGTGTGTAGTGAATGGGAGTATGATGGTTGGGGACAGAATAATCTTCTGGGATGAACATCAGAGTACAATCCTGGAGTAAGGGAGAAACTTAAACCCAGTGAACACCTCCCTTCCCTCTTTCCCAAACCACTCCTCCTGAATCTCACCGGGACCTGGCTAACTTAAGGCTCATTCTGTTGCCACCTTTCCAGTATGGGTTTACAGAGGGATATAAAGAATCAAGAGTAAGTCCTGAAGAAGTGTTGGTAAGTGTATGATTGTCATTGGCAATAAATACATACTGTGAAATCAAGAGTAGTTTTATGGAGAAGCATCTCTAATCATGAATTTCAAGACTTTTTTTTTCTCTGCATTTTTGAAGCAACAGGAGGACAGAACATTAAAACAAAAGCATGGTAGAAACAGTGAGTCCACAAAATTCCTGAAGCTCAGCCATTTTTCTTTGCATCACATGCTTATGAAAACTGATATGGCTGTAGCATGCAAATGAAGGA